TGCACCAACAATAAACACAGCAGAGAAAATCGTCCAATATTCCAGGTTTTGAGGAAAGTCGCTTCTGTGAGGTGGAAAACGCCGGCTGCCCAACTTGCGCTCCAGACCACACCTGTCTGCTCGTCATCGGCCAGAATGCAAACGCGGCACAGCACCAGTGCGCCTGTGCGATGGGAGGAGTCGTCGGGAAATGCCCATGGGATCCGTGTTGGGGCCACAAGTGCGGTCCACATGGGAAATGTGTCCCAAAGAACGACACCAGGGTAGAGTACTCGTGTGAATGTGAACCAGGTACGATTTTCATGTTTCCAAGTCTCATAGATTTCATGATATTACTCGTGAAATGGTTCGGTCAAAGTGAAGCCTAGCCTGCGGGCCAAGGGGTGGGGAAGGGGGGAATGAGGGGTGAGAAAGTACGAGTCAGGTTGGAGTTTGACGGCGCAGACGTTGACATGATATTAATTCCAAACGGAGACAATCATCACAGCGTAAAATGTAACTGTAGTGAAGAAGTGCAATTTGAAGGGCTTGAACGGGTTAAAAGTTTTCTAATAGCTTCAAAAAACAAAAATATAATACATTAGTCCAACGAGCAAAGTAATCGAAAAGCAAAGGATTGGTAGCACGGTGATTCGTGCATTTAGAAACCAAGGCCATATGAGATTTAAAGGCACAGCCCACGAACAAACTCGTCCGGTTAATCGAGTCGATTCTGGAACTATGAATACTGCCAGCTGAAAAAGGATCGCCAAAAACCCCAAAAAAGGCAAGCTGACTACAAAAGCGGCAAGGTGAAAATCGGTCGAGGACACGGGAATCGCGCTCTCCCGCGTGTACATTCACTCTCGACATTACTCTTGCACATTAAACAGTCATGGTCAAGGAATTCCTCGACCGCTATCCACCCTGAGAGAGGGTATACCTGAAAGGAAGCTTACCGCACGGCAAAGAGTGGGGAAAAAAGCAGAGGAATCATTGGGAAAGGGGGAGGTGGATCGTGTGCTCTCACATTGTCTTCATTCTAACCTGTCTTCTCTTCCACAGGCTTTTTGAATCGACGCAGGGTAGGCTAAAAACTCGCGCCCAACCTCTCTGCGTCTCAGACTCCTCGCCGCGTTGTGGGCTTACTGTTGCGTACCCTTAATAGGCAATCAGATAGATACGGGATGATGGGCGCCAAAGAGGGGAAGAGGTTCGAAGGCGAGATAGTCGACCAGCGATACGATACAGATAAGATTTCACAACGAAGGGCATGCTGGGCAAGTCCTAAGCCCCCACAGCCCTGGTGGTACGTTTCGGAGCACGAATTGGGCAATTCGTCATGACCCTGCAGTTGCGGACCCGAAAACTGCATCTACCGCAAGAATTCTTCCTGAGAGAATAATCGCGAGATGAGCCCTTAGAATAACGTACATACTTGGCGGATTCCTTCACACTGGCACAGCTGAGGACAAATTCGCTAAGTGTAGACGTACCCCAAGCAGAGTCAACCCTGCGTTGCGCAGTTCGCAACGGCACGTTGAGAGATCCTCAACGCACGCTGTATGGGCGGAGACACAGACGGCTCGAGCATGCGAGTGTGAATGTTCGCGCGAGAGAACGTGTCTAATCGGGCGAAACTGCGCAACGTGGCCGTTGAAAACTGCGCAACGCAGGGTTGACTCTGACCCCAAGTCATCACCGCAACTAAAGTATTTGCAATTGAGTTATGGATAGAGTTCTATACGGCAATGATAAAAGCTAATCTTCAACACCTTTCCAGGTTGGGTAGGCCAAGAATGTCAATCGCATATCGGCTGTATTTCTACTGACGATCAATATTTATGCAAAAATGGTGGTAACTGTACGGTTCGAACCGGGGAACTACCGACTTGTCAGTGTCCACCAAGGTGAGAATAAAACTACCGATGATCTTTATTTTAAGCAACGACCGCTACGCGACCGCACGCACAGTTGTCACTTATTGAGAACAGGCTTTTTTGTACGGGGCGACCACTGTACTCATCTATTAGGTTGGAAGGAAAGTTCTGAAACACTCAATTCGCGCTCTTTCTGGATTTCTCCCGAATGCTCTGGAATCTTCCATGGGTGGTATATAGTAGGAGTGGACCGTGCTACGTACGGTGATCAAATCAGCTTTCCCAATAATGGCGTTTGCATGGCACTAAATCAACTTTTCCCGCCAGACACTCCGAGCGCTCATTCTGTAAGAGCTCCGCCTAGAGAGATCTGCCCACCAGAGGTGGTCAGTCCCGGGATAGGCCTGGGCACGTTCTCTCACATGGCGGTTTCAGCTTGGCTCGAAACGCTCCGCAGCGAAGACTTTGATCTTTCTGACGCAACCACGAACTGCCCATCTTGACCTCGTTACCGCTGTAATCAAAGGTGATTCTGGGCAATCGTCACACAAGCTGACGTAGCGTCTTGAGTGCTTCCAGAACACGTCCTCTAGGCTCTTCAGGAGTTTGACAGGTCTTGGAAATGTGGTCAATAGGTACCGCACGATTTCACCGGGTGGACATCTGCACATGTACTTCTCGTCGCACAGCAGCAACGATAGGCCGTGGCATGTGGCCATTGGCGAAGACAAGAGTACTGTCTGCTTCAACCATATGCGACAGCAGCAGCGGCTTGGAGTATGGGGAACTGGAGTTACAATGCCTCGACTTGAAAATTATGGGGGGATGGTGATGCTGTCAAATTTTTGGAATTTTGACGGTATTTCCCACGACCTGTAGGATTGACGAGTACAAGGGCTACACAATGCTAGCTGCTCGAAACGATTGCAGAAAGCTTCGCCGAATATAGCGACAAGTCAACCTGCTTCACGACAACGCGCAACGTCGCGGGTGTTCGGTCTCAAGCCACAAGACTCTGAAGCCAGGCAGGACCGCGGTTGCCCGTCTGCCATATTCGTCAAACCTATCCATACACGTCTTCCACCTTTCCTGCTCGCTTGCTCATTACCTGGAGAACAGAAAGCTCGACGACGAGAAGGACCGCAAATCCGACTTCAAAAGGTTGTTTGACAAAAATTCTCCTAATTTCTACAAATGTGGTGTCAACCAATTGCCCGAAGGTTGGCGTAGTGTTGCTGAGTCTGATGGTCAATATGTTACGGATCTTAGAACAAAGGATAAAAAAATAAATTCCAAATTTTGGCTGGGGTGTTTCAGAACTTTCCTCCAACCTAATAATTAAGTGTTCGCTGTTATCGTCAAGCACACTCACTCACTCTCAACCGGGAAGGAAGTGTGATGCTCGCCATCGAACGATCCTTTTTGAGATGCGCCACGCTTTCAAATATCCACTAGGAGTTGTAGCCCGCAACATGCGACCTGCGACATACAGCTGGCATTTAAATGTAGTGGATAGGGATGAACGCCACGAAGATTGGCATGGGCGTGTCTCGAGTCGGGAAACCGACCCGAGACTGTGCGCGCGGCAAGTTACACATCGTAACCGTGTCCTTTCGCAGGTCCTATTGCTCTCAGTGAAGGAAAGTAGTGCTTTTTAACGCAAAAAACCTTCCTCCTTTCCTCACAGCCCTCCAACGCTTGTGCGGTTTCACCTTTCAAGGCCTACTTGGGCGCTATCGCAACATACAGGGGCACTATCTAGGACTCAGCCTAATAAGACGCAATAGTTCCGGAAAAATGAAAATGGCTCATGCACCTTGGGGTCTCTCCGCCCCCGCCTTGTCCCGTTTTTAACAAAAAAGACATGTTTTACACGGTTTCAAATGCATTGCCATCATAATGCTCCTGTATATTGCGATAGCGCCTCTCCTTGTTCTAAGGCAAGGAGGGGCACATGGCGCAACTTCACAAAAATAATTGCGACATAACTTTACAGATTCACTGGAGCCACCTGCGACATCCAGGTGGATCGATGTGAGGGAGTAACTTGTCAGAATAACGGCACTTGCGAACCGCTGCAAGAAGGCCATTTCTGCTACTGCCAACCAGGATTCACAGGTCTTCAATGTGAGGTGGGCCAAAAAGTTCATTCTAGAACATTTCGTTGAATCGCGCTGATCTCGTACCCTAGAATTTTCCAATCATTAGTATCCTTTACGCATATAACCTGTGTTTATGGAAACCAGGTGTTCGTCGAGTGCAGACCACACAACACAAGTGACGACGGCCTTCACAAAATGTAAATGTTTTCTGCCAATGAAATGATTAGCCTGTTGCAGTTGTATTCTATCAGTTGTCACTAATTACAACTATCATTTACCAACTATCAGCTATCACTATGAACCACTAGTTTCCAGATTTACTTGGAGGCGTCGTCACTTGTGGTGTGTGGTCTGCACTTGACGCACTTCTGTTCTCGGGAACAGAAACTATGTAACTCATAAGATGTAACGGGTCCAATACGACTGTGCGCTTTGAATTTGTAACATCACAGTAACAGTATGCAGAGTATTTATGAATGATCTTGAAGCTCTTGTAATTTACTATTTATTGGTTAGCTTTCGGCAATAATGCCATCATCAGACCTTAAAATTACAACAATTGCACATGATCAACTAGTTACATTACAAAAACACTATACATCAATACATACAAGCGAGAAAAGGAGAGTAGTGGCACCTTTCGACCTGGTATGTATTGAGGTAGTGTTTTTGAAATGTAACTAGTTGATCATGTGCAATTGTTGTAATTTTAAGGTCTGATGATGGCATTATTGCCGAAAGCTAACCAATAAATAGTAAATTACAAGAGCTTCAAGATCACTCATCAATACAATATCAAATGAAGCTTAGAGATAGCAGTTTTTTATCAGTATGCAGAGTATTGTAAAAGTGGTGGAGTCTAGTACATAATCCATATATATTGCAACCCCGAAAATTCAGAATATTTTCCATGGGAATATTTGAAAAACAAAGGAGGGAGCTGTTATGTTAACTATTAGGTGTTTCAGAAAGTTCTGTCGCTTTTCTACCCCAAATTTCAATCGCATGTATCTCGGCTTAAACCAAACCCTTCAAGTTAAAATATCAGGTCGGTGCAAAAGTTTTGAGACACTCGGATGCGTGTTTTAAAATCCTTTACAATTTTATTCAAACTCTAACTCAATAAACTATATAATCACCATCATTATCTATGACATTCATCCAACGAGCAGGCAAGTCGGCTATTCCCTTCTCCCAGAAAGAGGGACTGTGAGTCAAAGAAGTCAGCCACAGCATTTTTGAGGTCACCAAAAGTGGCGAACTTCTTCTTGACCAAAAGCTTCTTGAGTGCCTAAAAAGATGATAGTCAGAAGGGGCGAGGTCAGCGGGAATAGGGAGGGTGGGGAACGGTATTCCAGCCAAGCTCCTGTAGCCTGGACTGCGTGATCTTTGCGACGTGAGGTCGAGCGTTATCATGCAGAAGATGGACAGAAACCCTTCTCGGTCGCTTTTCTTCGATTACGAGTTCCTGAAGCTGGCGACTGTGAAATGGTAGCCGTGACTGCCTGGCCTTGAGGGAGCAACTCATGGTAAGCATTCCCTTCGAGTCCCAGAAGCAGCACAGCAAAACCTTCCTTGAGTGCTGTCCTGGCTT